ACTGTATTCATTCTAATTGGATATAATAAAATATTCAGTAATGTTCGTTATTGGTAACAACTCAAATCTTTTTTTAAAAAAGTCACAGTGTTTTATTTAATGCCTTATGATTTTATAGGAATTAAATAGTAATGATATTTCTGACCTTGGAAAATAACAGGATTTATTTTGTGATTTGTTAATTAACAGAATTTTGTCAAAAGAACATTGGTTTCCAGAGAGGCTGGAAGTTATTTGAAATTAGAGGGGCGCCTGGGTGGTGCAGTGGGTTAAGCATCCGACTTCAGCCAGGTCACGATCTCGCGGTCCGTGAGTTCGAGCCCCGCGTCGGGCTCTGGGCTGATGGCTCAGAGCCTGGAGCCTGTTTCCAATTCTGTGTCTCCCTCTCTCTCTGCCCTTCGCCCGTTCATGCTGTCTCTCTCTGTCCCAAAAATAAATAAACGTTGAAAAAAAAAATTAAAAAAAAAAAAAAAAATGAAATTAGAGAGAGGCTATCTACTAACATTGTCATCACAGACTTGCAATGAGTTGGTGGGTTTTTTTTAACTCAGAGGTGAACCAGAAGGAAAATAGTTTGTTGCCAAATGTTTGAAACTCTGTGACCAGAGTTGGGTCTCAGTTGGCAGTATTAGAATTCTCTTGGTCATCCTTCTAAAAAAGAAGGATATGAGTTAATAACTGTGTGTTATTTCTGTTTTTAGGGTCCACCAAAATATGTAAAATCTGTTCTTAAAAAAGGAGATAAAACCAACTTTCCCAAAAAGGGAGATGTTGTTCACTGCTGGTATACAGGAACACTACAGGATGGGACTGTTTTTGATACTAATATTCAAACGAGTAAGTCTAAATGTAATCTTACCTTTTTAGCTATAAGGCATTGCAAAATATTTGTGTGGTACATGAGCAGTTGGCTGTACCTTTCTCTTGGCTGTCAATTTTTCCAGAAGTCTTTGCACCTGTGATTTACTTGGAAGAGGTCTTCAATTCACTATTGGCTGGGTGAATAAATATCTCTTGGTAATTGGGAAGCAAAATATAGGGAAGCTTAGTCTAAACTTGGTTAATGTCCCAAAGTGAGGCTTTCATATTTCAATGTAAAAGGGAGAATAGTGTGCTGTTTTAGTGGTGTAAATATAGGTCCCTCTCCTCTACCTTTTAGACCATAACTTATGTAAAGATAGAATTTTCTTGAGTTTTCTGAATTTTTATTTTCTTTTCAAATGCATAGTAAGTTCTAAAATCAATTTAAAGACTTAAGTCAACTGTTTTTCCAATGAAACTTAATTTCATCATGCATTATAAGGAAAATTTGTTTTACAGGCTCAAAGAAGAAGAAAAACGCCAAGCCTTTAAGTTTTAAGGTTGGAATAGGCAAAGTTATCAGAGGAGTAAGTAAAAAATGGCAATGAATCAACAGATGTTCTGGCACATGCTACTTGTGGTATGGTACCATAAAGAATTAGGATTGGGGCTATGATAAAAAAAAATCTTTGGAGTCTAACAAATCAAGTGCTATCATTGCTAACTCATCTGGCACAATTTTTCTGGGTCTCAGTTATGGACAGTACAACCTTCCTCAAGGTTGCTAAACAAATAAGCTTAACTGCAGCACATAATATATAGTAGAGACTCATGTTATTAAATGCCTGCCCCTTTTAATATTTTTTTTCTTCGTAAAGTAATTCTTTGTCAGAAAGTTTGGCTTTCTAAATTTATCTTTAAGATTCTTGTAGGGGCGCCTGGGTGGCTCAGTTGGTTAAGCATCCAGCTTCAGCTCAGGTCATGATTTCTTGGTTCGTGAGTTCGAACCCCACGTCGGGTTCTGTCCTGAAAGCTGTGAGCCTGGAGCCTGCTTCGGATTCTGTCTCCCTCTCTCTGCCCCTGCCCTGCTTGTGCTCTCAAAAATGAATAAACGTTAAAAAAAAAAATTTTTTTTTAAGATTCTTGCAAAATGTTACATAGTTGTGCTACTTACACATGGTAGAGAAAGGTAAAATACCTGTTTCACTGAATTACTCATAGAAGAGTTTGTTCTGAGTTTTTTCACCTTGCACAATCGAGGTTCAAACACCAGAAAATCTTTCAAACCTAAGGATGCCTTTTTTACCCACCCCTTCTTGTGAGAGGTAACAGAAGGAGACTTTGAGAAAAGGGGAAGATAGGCTTGAGCTGCAGTGACCACTGCAGTGTACCAAAGGTAATGGATAGTAGCACTGATTATCAGCTTCATTGAAGCTGTCATTCTAGGGCCCATTTATTATTAAATGGTCTTTATTCACAACATCAAACGTTGTAACTGACATACCTATTCACATGCATTTATGAGAATCCTCAATGTTATTCTTTGTACTGTGATAAGCCCTAAAATACAACTCAATCGTATCCAGAGCCTAAAATAGCATATAAAACATCTTCAAACTAAAGGTTTAGTTGAAAATAACATTAACTGCTACCTGATTGTACCTAGTTGATACTAACTATATACCAAACTGATCAATTTTTCTATTCCTGTGACTAATTTGCTTGTGTATTTCTTCTAGTGAACCATATTCTTAGTTGCCATTATGTAACAGATCTCTATCCCTTAAGCTTTATGTGACTGAAATTTCAACAGAGTATATGATATTAGTCATATCTTTGCATCCTGTTGATTTAACTGTTTTTGGTAACTGACTTTAAGACCCAAGGTGCCTGGCTGCCTTGGCTGGTAAAGCATGCAACTCTTTATCTTGGAGTTATGAAGATCTCTACCCCCACATTGGGGGTAGAGTTAAAATTAATACATCTTTTTTTTTTTTTTTTTTTTTTTTGCAATGAGGAAATAAAGGACCAAGATTCACCCAAGGACATTACCTTAGAATATAATGAAATTCAGTAGTGGAATGCTTTTTGGTATATACTGTTTTCTAGATTTACATGTAGTTTTTGCAAATTATCATTAGTATTTATTTCATGTTCTTGCCTTTAGTGGGATGAAGCACTCTTGACCATGAGTAAAGGAGAAAAGGCTCGACTAGAGATTGAACCAGAATGGGCTTATGGAAAGAAAGGACAGCCTGATGCCAAGTATCCTTTTCTCCTTTGTGAGTAAAAACAAACAAAAACATGAAGACCACCTGAAGGTATAAAAGACGCTATCTAGGTTAATTTCCAGATCAGGAATCATGTCCAGACCAGTATTCCTAATACTTAGATGCTTCTGTGTAGACACCTCCAATAGAGACAGGAGTTAACATGTCTTAGTAGTACAAAGTATCCAAACCTGAGCTAGAATAGAATTTACATTTTTGTCCTCTTGAAATCAGTTCTTGATTTTTAAGAGCTAAATTGTGAGGTTTACGTTTTCATCTTTGAAAGGCAGTTGTTACTATTTGAAGGATTTCCTTAAAGGAGTTAAGATGTCCAGTACAAACAACTATAGCAAATTATAGGATATAAGTATGGCTCATGGTAATTTTATGCTGCAGTATAATTTCAGGCATTTAAATGGGTACTCAAAGCTTAGAAATGGAACATATGTTGGGGATTACTGGTTGTGAAATTTAAGGGGACCATGGGTCCACCATAGTGTAAGCATCTGTGATTACTACTAATGACAGTACTTTTCTGATAGGCCCAGTTTGTGAAAATTAAAAAAAAACAAAAAACAAAAAAATAAACATGGCTCCTGACCATTGTGATCAGAACAATCCAATAACTGAGAAGTTGTTTTTTCTTTTGTTGGTTCCATTCCCATTGTACTAGTTGGATTAGTTAAAGTAACTTTTAAAAAACTTGGAAGTTCTCTCCACTTGTATCAGTTAAAATTATTTAGGAATATAGCCCTCTTCTAAGCCTATCAAAATTAGATGGCCCAACGACAGCTGCCTCTCTCTCATGGGAAGCATCTCAAAACCAATCAGATAAAAATAACACTTTTCTGAACTTGGCATCTTAAAAAATCACAGCAAATATAAGGCATTACCTCATACGAAATTTGATTTAACATAACCTATACACCCAGCTAGACTGAAATCACGTCCTTGTTTTTGTTTTGTTTTTTTTAAAGCACTGAGTAACCATCTTCATTAGGTGGTGGCTAATTTGGGAGTACTGGTGAGGCATCCAGGTAAGGAAGATCCTAGTCCAAACTCAACTTGTCTTGTCAGCCTATACTAGTAGGTTATGATCACCATTCACAAAGATACTTTGGGGAACCACTAGGCTAGTATGTGTTAGCCTCTCAGTCATTCATAAAGCCCTTCTCTTTGAGGTTAATACCAAATATCCATTAGATATAATGCTAATTTTAGACTGAGGATATTGGGAGTGAAGGAAGAAGCAATTTTTATCAAGTTTACCTTGACTTCTGCAACAGAATTCCACCAAATGCAAAACTCATTTTTGAAGTGGAATTAGTGGATATTGACTGAAATAGCAATGCTTCAGATGTAAAGACATCAGCAACAATAAAACATGGCCTTGAAGAAATTTATGTAACTAATTAGAGCTGGTTACTATTGTAACGGAAGAGTCAACTGGAAAATTCAAGAATGCAGATACTGTTTACCCGATCCGCAACTTTTAATATATGTAATCCATTATAATTCCCTAAAGTTTGAAATATTTTACTACAGCTGTGTAAAATATTGGTTAAAGAGAACTGACTTTCCTTTTACCTCATGTTGTAAACTGAAAGGCTCAATAAAATGTATTCAGTGTCTTGATTTATTTGTTGTTAATAGATAATTGTTCTGATTAGGTTAACCAGGACTAACATTTAATCAAAACAGGGAGTTGTAGTAAAACTGTCCAGACAGCTTTTCCAGAGGGACACTCCTCTTTAAATAAATATTCCTGTATAGTGAGAAGACAAGCAGAGAAACAGAGGGAGCAAAAAGCTATAAATGGTGTGATTTTAGCTAAATTCAAGAAAAGTATACTTCAAAACCAATGGTCCACTAATAATGATAAAGTTAATATTAGGTGAACCTGCCCCCAAATAAACTCGTAACAATTAGTTAAGGAGTCTTAAGTTTTATTACAAAAATGAAGATGATCAGTTTGATCAAAATGAAAGCTTGCTCACAAGTTTTACATGAATATTCTAAATACAAAGTCTCCTGAAACAACATACTTTTGATATGATTTTCATTTTTTAAAAGGGATGCAAACACTCCATTTTTTCATTTATAATCTCTATCCCAAGACATAGTATTTAATAGTGTATCTTTTCTGCAGTTAAATCCAAATTCACAAGGATAATTGAAACAGACAAAACCTTGTCATTAAAGGTTAAAAATCCATTTTTTTTTTTTACAGAGGAGGTAAATCCTTAATAACCAGCCCTTATATATTTTCAGTATCTTGAACTACACTGACATGATTTCCAGTCAGTTTTTTTCCTACCCCTTAAGGCTACAAAGGATTTCTGTTGCAAATCCATTGCAAAAGAATTCTAGAACACTTAATGCAAAAAATCAAAAAAATAGTTCTCCAATAAAAAGTAAATTTTATAAATGGTAGGAAATAGTATCTGTGGTAAGCTACTAAGTGACATTTTCCCCTATTACTAAACAAATCATGTTACACAGAAAACAGGAAGACAAGTTATCAAATACAACAAGCTTATGCTATGTTTACATCCCTCATTAAAAAAAAATAATTTCATACTTTTAATACATTCCATCTGATATATTTTCCCATCAGGTTGGAGGGGGAGGGTAATACTGTCCATAATTCCACGGATTCTGATAATTGTACTGAAAGGAAAAAGCACATGTTAGCATGCTAAAACTGGCTCGGTTCCATTTATGAAAGTATAATTAAAGCATATACATTTAAGAAGCCAGGCATGTGTTCAGTGCTAAAATTCCAAGACTTAACCACAAAAGACAATTTATTATACAGTCTGGAATAGAAGTAGTTGTTACAAAAAAAAAAAAAAAGACTATCCTAATTTATTTTTAATTTTATTATTAAATTATTCTAATTATTAAATAAAAAACTTAAATTATTTTTATTTTCATTTTTGAATAACATCTACAAGCAAAAAATTCAATTAGGTGAACTCACTTGATACCAGGCACTATAATTATATGCCGCTTGATTTGCCTGTAAATCACCATCAATCATCTGTGTAGATGATGAAGTTGTGTCTTCTGTGTGAGCTTTCTTTTCCTCTGGTTCTTCTGACCTAAATACAAGGGAAAAAACTTTAAATTCCCACAGGTAAGTACTTTTAAAACAAATGTATGCATGTTTACATTTGTACCTGTGTACATTTGTTTTAGTAAAGTTCTCAACTACTCAAGTTTTGTACAGTTTTTTTCAAATCATGAATGTAAAGTATCTAAATTACCACACCTTGAAGGCAACATTTAAAAGTACATATCTTTAGGGGTGCTGAGCGTCCGACTTCAACTCAGGTCATGATTTACAGTTCAGTTTGTGTGTTTGAACCCTGGGTTCAGCTCTGTGCTAACAGAGCAGAGCCTGGAGCCTGCTTCAGATTCTGTGTTTCCCTCCTTCTCTCTCTGCCCCTCCCCTACTCACGCACGCTCTCCCCGGCCCCCCACCTGCCCCCTAAACAATAAACATTAAAAAAAACTTTTTTAATATTTATTTTTAAAGGCATTTTAGCAATGAAATGTCTTTTTTTTTAAGCATCATGAATCATTCTGAGCAAGAAGTTACATACCCATTTTCTGCTTTCCTTTTTAAAGAATCCTGTTCTTTTAGGAGTGTTTGATGTTCATCATAAGCATTCAGAAGCCTGAGAGGGAAGGAAAAATAACATCCTATGGAATATACAAAAGCCAAACTGTTAAAGTTTTAAAGTTTGGACTTACTTTCACTTGGTAACAAAAATATGTTGCAATGAACATAATTATTATTATTTTTTTTAATGAACCTGCAAGCAAACCTCCTCCCAGCCACCTTTTCCAATTTATTTCCTCTTGGGAAACCACTGCTCTACACTTTCCTTCTCAGTCCATGTGATTCAAATGGGGCTTCAGGGATTCAGAACTGGCCAACCACAGCACTATATACCCCTGACCAATAATTGGTTTAGAGTGAACATTTGACCCAAACCAAGACGTTTAATAACTCCCAGGATTTTTGAGCTACTAGAAAAGTGCCTGTTCTCACTACTACAGTTGACTGAGCTGATGGGATATTGGTCAAGAGCTACCTTTTATTATCATTTCTAACACATGGGGAGAGGCTGCCTAAGAAGTTATTGTACAACTGAGACAGTGGCCTTGAGGATGTGTTTTTGTCCAGTGCAAAGAAGTCCTGAACGTTCTGTAATTTCTACCTTTTTGAAACCTAACCATGCTTATTAAAGACACTTGACACCAGTTAGGATCAAGTGTATTTAAACTTTGACCATGTGATAAACTGAATTAGAACTAATATAAAAGTACAATATAATTTTTATCACTGATGAAGATTTTTTTTAATAAAAAAATTCCGACATAATACGCGTATTAAGTCTCACCTGGAACTCAGAACTTCAAAAACAATGTCACTTGAAGCCAAACTGACAGAAAAATCCTAAAGATTCTGTTTTCCTTTTACCATTTTCTGAAATATTTTTTTAAAAACAAAGATGGCCTTATTTTTTAAAGTAATCATTAACCCTAACACAGATAGTTAATATTTCTGTAGAAATGACCTTGATAATTTACATGCATATACAACATCCCTGAGCAATCTGCATATATACACATCCAATGATAACAACAAATAACTCTGGCCCCAAAAGGTTCAAGAGGCTATGAAATTGTTAATCCCAGTGCTCTGGTTGTTCCTCAACACCAAGCACTTTAAATGGACTAATTTCCTTAAGGCTTAAGGAATCCACTTATGGATTAGGTGGTAAGAGACTCAATCTATACATGAGAAAATCTGAAAAGTGAGGAATACACAAATAGTAAGTGACACAGCTAGGATTTAAGCATATATTTAGCTGAATTAAACATCAATTCATGAGTACTAAGGGGGGGCACTTGTGGTGGCACTGGGTGTTGTATGTAAGTGATGAATCACTGAATTCCACTCCTGAAACCAATACTGCACTGTATGTTGGCTAACTAAAATTAAAAAGAAATAAAAAATCAGTTCTTACCAATACATACTACCTAAATTCCTAAATTTCTAATTTCTAAGCTCATCTATTTTTCAGTCAAACCCTTTTTAAATTTCAACTACAAAAATCTTAGACCTGATATCCAGACCCTCTATAATTTTATTTGCAAGGACCTGTTATCTTTGTGTTAAGCCTCAGATTTGTCCACATATTACTGCCAATTTCAAATATGTCATTTAATCCCAGTCAAAATTCTTAATAGCTTCCTACTGTCAATCATGGCACTGCGTGTGCTCTGAACCAAGCACAGCACAATCAACATCACACCTTCTACTTCAAAAATCCTCCCATCAAGCAGATGTTACTTTCACGTGAACTTTAACTTTCTTCCACAATTTTATTCTTTCCTTACCAGAATCCCATAGTACCCAAATGAAGCCCCATCTCCTCTGTGAAGGATGACAAATCCATTCTGATCCATAGAAAGCACAGCCTTAACAGTTCTGTGCCACCTCATATACTTACCTATTTCCTCTGATTAAACCATCCAACTAGACTAGAAGCTAGAATTACATATCCCATTTCTTTTGTGCACTTTCTTCAGTGCAAAACAAACAGAAGACACTAAATATACAGCACAGGTGGTTAGCAGCATAGACTTTGAAGCAAGTTCTAATCCCAGTTGCACAATGTAATAATAGCTAACTGACCTTGGAAAAACTTCCTAATCTCTTTAAGCCTCTCTTCATCTATTAAAAGAACAACAGTAGCAACAAAAAAATAAGAACAGTACCTACAACCTCATTAGACTGTTAGGTATTTTACAGTAGACAATTCATGGAAAACATTTACTATGATGTAAAGCACATATATACAACTGTATTAAAATTTAACTTCTGTTAAATGTTTTTTAATTTTACTCAACCATCAAAAATGTATACACACATACATAAACAGAGACAAATAATCCTCATTTTATCAACAGCTGTTTCAATAGAAATCACTCTAAATTAGGGTAATTAGAGAAGGGACATGCCTTATAAGAACTGTGAAAGTTCCCTACTACAATCAGTTAAGAATGGAACAGCAGCAATGCTCTAATCAATACTTCTGCTCTTCTATTTTGTAAATATAAGTTGCAAACTTGTCCTTTTCCCAAATCCCCTAGAGTAAACCCTTCCACCACCCTCAACTTTCAGCTTTTTACAATGCATGAAATAAGGCCCCTAGGCATCATCTGTGCAACCATACTGTTTCCTCCAATCAGAGATAAAATGGCATCCCTATTCTAGATTAACCACATCCACCTTTTGTGGTGTATATACTGTTTGTGTTTCAAGGTTCAATCCTTGACCCATTTACTTTTTCAAAGGATTTGCTGTTTCTTGCCTTCTCATTGTTTACATTACAATGCCAAAATTTTGAAAACAATTTGAAGGAAAGACAAACCATATATCCTGTTACACATACACATTTGCAAAACTGAATTTACCCCCATATATGAGGAAAAAGAAATATGTTAACTTCTACTAATCATTAAACTCATACAAAATTATTAATGCTCATTTATTATTCAAATAATATATAATTAAGATCTTACTTATTAACATCTGAACCAAAATCTTCAAGAAACTCCACTTTTCTCTGAGAAAATGTAATTCTCATTTTAATAGGTAATGAACCATGTATAGCTTTGTCAAAACAATTTAGGATATTTTCTTCATTTTGTTTGAGGTCACCACTATATTCCATTTCAAGTAAATTGAGGTATAACTTTGTATTCTCCTGTGTAAAAAGCAGTATCAATTAATAATATTTCTAAAATGTTTTGATTAGAACACAGATATTTAAAATGTCTTAATTTTTATGCCTAAATTTGAAAAATATTGAAAGCCATTAAAATGTAACTCAAGTTAAATATTTTCAGCATACACATAACAGGTGAAAAAAATAATTAGCATACTGATAAGTAATGACATCATCCTGGTATTAAAACTA